ACTTGCTCTAAATCTTCTGTAACCCCTTGCGACCTAGTGGCTTCCCGCCTTGCTTGGGGTGAAACGCTTAAAAAAAAAAAAAGATTATCAACTAGGTCCAATCGTTTTGCTATTGAACTAAGTAGATGCAACCGTCATTTCTACTCTTAAGTTTCTTTTCTCGCATTGTAAATCAGCATCTTCTGTCTTCTTGAATCCAGTCCCTTTTTGTCTTTGCCTCAATTCTACCCTTTCTCAGTCTTCTCATTCTCTTTTCCTTTCACTCTCTCTAGCCTCCACCAAGCGTTTTAGTGATCGTCTCGCCTTGCTTGGAGTGAAATGATTAAAAAGAAATAAGAAAGACACAGAAGAAATTCCTCGGGAACTTTAATGAGGAAAGAATGTTTTGGGCACTTCGGCGTGGTGTAACGGTTAGCAAGCTTGTCTCGCTAGAACAATTACGACTGAGTAGTGAGTTCGATCCTCACTGGGTACCCCACACTTTCGGCCTTGTGCCACATCTAAGCTACGCTTGGAAAATTGCTATATCAATCACGGTTGGGCACTTTGAGGCGCTGTAATTTTTAGCAAGCTTGTCTTGCTAAAACAATTACGACTGAGTAGTGAGTTCGACCCTCACTAGGTGCTCCATACTTCCGGCTTTGTGCCACATCTAAGCAGCGCTTAAAAAATCAAAATAATGTTTCAGGAATTTGACACACAGGATATATCAAAGGCAAAGGAGATGGAACCAGTGGGTCATGTAACTAACGTGCTTATGTGATTAGATGGCAGAACAGGAAGTGATGGGAATGGTAGACCTGCACAGGAGGCTGTGGAGAGCCACGAACAGCCATGTCCTGAAGGAGCACCACATTTAGAAGAAGCATTTTAATATTCGCTCTCATTGATTGACTGATTTGTTTTTTTTTTTTACGGCTTATCAATCTATTGCAGGTTATTTAAATAAGGAACATATTTTTAGATTGTGACGATATTTTTTGGCAGTTGGGGAGATCCTGATTTAGAGATACAAGTCTTATTAATTAACCCATAGCTAGGGCAAGAAGCGGTGGATTTTGACTTTTCCCCAATAGTTTTCTGTGTGAGTGAATATAACGAATACAACTGGAATTGGAACTTGTCACTCCGATTAACAAATTCGAGCCTTTATCAATTACAAAATCCGCACATAAAACCTTGCGACAGCTGGTATGCTCAATCGGTTACCCATCTCAGCAATGTCCAGAATCGACGTTACTAAACCTCGGTAATCTTACGGGAGCCGGTGTTTCAACTTGATATGGCTGTAAGATTTTATTCTCTCTCAGTCATCGAGATGACTCAAGCAGTTCGTTATATTTGAAGTTTGTTAATTTGGCTAATAATTTAAATTGTTAATTAAATTATCTATATTCGGACTATTGTCCACATATTTGTTGTTATTATCAATACGTTTCAAGCGCTGTCTCCGGCCTTCCTCAGGTGTATATCGTTCTGGGTAGCCTACTGGGATTCTGAATTGAACACTTTATTTAATCTACGGGGGTAGACCGTTCTTGTTTCATAGTCTACGTCAAGGGATATCTCATCTAGTTATGTTATTTAAGGCTGTGCGGTTTTTTCTCTCTCGTTTACATTAAGTGCAAGTACACACTGGCAGATCCAGTTTATTGAACTGACAACTATTATGTCACCAAAATGCCAAACCAACGTTGTTAACCACTTAGCCATTGTCCCTTGGAATTTCTTGTAGGTAACCAAGATCAATATACATCCAAGGAAGACCGGAGGGCGCAATGGCCGGAACGTCCTTACACACAAGCCACTAGTAGCTCGCTGGCGGGGCCGCCGATGGCAGCACCAGCGGTCCTCTGGTGGCAGCCACCGGCGGGCCTCTAGCGGTCCGCCAGTGGTAGCACTACCGAGACGTTCCGGCCACCAGCAGTAAAGGCTAGTGGCATGGCACCCGGTGGCAAATTGGTGGCTTGCGTGTAGTGGTTGCGATAACAACAACAACAACAACAACAAAGAGTCCAAATATAAATTGTGTAAATAATAAAATCTTTTTATCCCAGAAATTCAAAAAAAATTATAAATAATTTAAAGGATTTAAAATAAATTATTAAATAATAATTCCAACGTTTGAAGAAATTCGGATAAATCGAGACTTTTAAAATTTCTAGGCATGCGGCCATATCATGTAGAAACATCGGTTCCTGTACCAAAGTTAAGTAACCCAGATAGGTGACATTTTGGGAATACATAAGCATGGATGTGCGGGTGGTGTAATGGATAATAACTCGAAATTTTTAATAAGAAAGCCGAGTTCCTTTCCATTTGGGCTCGTTATAATCCCCCCCCCGCACACACCATTGGGAAAGGTATCAATCCACCCCTTCTCACAGCTACTGGCTAATTAGTAAGTAAGTAATTAGTAAATCATTATTCTTCCAAAATTCTTCCAAAATTCTGAGAATCTAAAAATTATTTTAAGACATTTTTATGTTTACCATTCTTT